AAATATTTTTAAGACCCATGCACAATTTTACATTTAAGTAAGGATTAAAATCAACATTTGAAAACTTGGAGTAATATTTTGATATTCAAATAATTTACTCGAATATTAATTTTGAAATCGAATATAAAATCTTAAAATTCAATAGGACTTTATTTGTTATATCGAAACATCAAAATGTTTTTAACAATTTGATATTCGGAAAATAACGAGGATACCTCAGCTACTTGAGCACATGAATGTTCAATGAATAATTGTGAGTAGAGATTTCCATATTTTCTTCTATTAGTGCTAAGACACTTTAGTATCAGTGCGAACGCACTTCCGTACCAGTGTTGAGGCACTTTAGTATTAGTGCTAAGGAACTTTCGCTATCCGATGACAAGGCTACGCTATATGTATATACTCATACCTTATGAAGTGCTCGATACTTATTATGAATTATGCTTGATGATTTTCATTGCCACATGATTGAACTTGTTAGCATTTGCAATTAATGGATGCATGTAGTACAATAGAGTTATCTATGTGGCACTAAACTCGTAGCTTAGCGTTCGAAATTTGTTTCTGTTCGCAGGTCAGTAGGTGCCCGTCATGAAACTTTTTGCTATATTATGGAATCTAGATATTAGTAAGCTGCAGAGTACGACCCGATTATTTTAATTGGCATGTATATCATACACTTTTTATGTAATTTGAGTCGTAACTCTTTTGAGAAACTTGATGTATTTTAAAAATTTATTTTTGGGAGCTCCCATGTTTATACGCTCAACTATTACATTTTAAATTTTAAACTGGAATGGATTGCTTTTACTTATGAGTTTAACATGTTTTAAAGAATTTTTTTGGGTTAGCCACTTCGGTGGTCTCGTGTGATATCCAAACCCTCCTTCAAGTCGGATAGAATTTGGATGTTACATAGATTTAAAAAGTTCTAAATCTTAAAGGCAGATTTCATGATTTTCGAGAGTTATTATCAATAATCTAATCCGATAAACTGAATGAAAAGGTTGGATTAAATCTTATAGTGAAGTTGGGATTCATTGGTCACCATATACATTGGGGACAACAATTAGCGTGATCGCATAAAATTTAATTGTTACAATCAATTAATTGAGTGATTTAATTATTATAAACACAACCAAATTGTTACACTCAATTAATTAAGATATTTGTTTATTACAATAAATTAGTTGAGTGACATGACAATAATTGTTTACAATATATTGTTTTTAATGAATAAAATGATTCATGTTATTGAACTATTACGTGACTTGATTATTAGTACATCAAATGTTAGTGAGTTATGTTTAAATGATTGTTTTAAACATTACAATTTTAAAGATTATAAAACGATAATTAAATTTATTGATTTGTTATAAAAACGAGTACTAAGACATTATAACAACATTAAAAAATTAATAAATTTAATGATTATTTTATAAAACTTTGATAAATTTATTATTTTATAATTTTTGAAAGTTCAATGACTAAAATAATTATTTAAGCATAATTCAATGACCTTTGGTATATTTTATCTGTAAATATAATAAGTCAAATTATGCTATTAGTCCATGTACTAATCATAAATAGTAAATTATTATTATTATTATTATTATTATTATTATTATTTAATCTTTACAATTTAATCATATCATATATTATGTAAATTATGATTAAAATTTTAAATATATAAAATAAAACCGACCAAATTATTATGTTGCAGTATCTGTTAAAAGATAATTGTCAATCATTTGAAATTGGATGATCAAACTTCTAGTATTTCTGATACTTAAATCCGAGACCTCAAAAAATAACAATAATTCTTTTACCGTTGAAGTCGTTTGATTCGTGTTAAAACCGACTAAATTAAAATGTAGTAGAGATTAATGACACAATAATTAGATTAACATGCAAAATCATTAAGACTTTGATAAGATAGGCATGGGGCCAGCCGACAAAGGAGAGGAGCTTAATCATATCACAAAGATGGAGGTCGACTCACTTTCTATATGAACATCACTTAAAAGCAACGAGTGATGGTGGCATTAAAAGATCATTTTTTTATTATTTTGAAAAATAAAAATTAAAAAAATGTTGAATAGATATGCAGAGGGATGATGGGGGCATATGAAATACAGAGTGAAGAAAAAGACAAAGTAAGGGATGTGATCTAGTTGGACCACGAATTGAATAAAGGAGGAAAGAAACTATCTTGGATTAAAAGGAACCGATGTTAGTGGGTCCTAGGGTTGAATTCGAGATAGACATAAAATTTTGTATACTGATAAATTTATAATTAAAAAAAAAAATTTATAAAATCTTAAGGAGTAAAAATAAATTATTAATAAAATTTTAAAAATTAAAAATATGTTTTTTTAGAAAGACGACTGTTCCAATACACTTTTCTTAATCTATCCCTTGATAATTTACTAGATCATTAGAGATAGTTTTTATCTCCTACTTGTTGGAAGTTTCCAAGAAACTATGTGTAGGAAGCAGCTTCCACTCTCATTGTTTAGGAGAAATATTTACTCATATAGTCATGCGGTTATTTATTACAAAGATAAAACCTTAAATAATCGTGAAAAATGACAAAAATTAGAGAGTAGAGGCAGAAAATGATTTTAGTACCTCGAAAAATAGATTATCGAACCTTAAACCTCCAGAAAAACTTGATGGGGGCAATTCCCGGTGTGGTTAGGAGATTCTTGATGCATTATGTATAAAGTTAACAATCCAACCCTGTATATCGACATCGGTTCACGACTCGAGCTTTTTCATGGAATAAAAGGTCAAAGCTTGGGCCAAATGATGGACCACATTTCCCCCCGTAGATAGAAACAAAACGAGAAGTGCTCTCATGCAGGTAGTTTATTAATTAGTGTCGTTCATACTTGACCCACCACATGTAAATCACACTGCTTTTATTCAGACACGACCAACGGAAGTGAAGCAATTGTATCACCAGAAGGACAACAGTGTCTAGGGGGAATGCACTGTTCCTCAGTCTCTCTGTCTTTAAGAAGAGCAGTCAATTCACGACCGCAGCAACATACAGGCCTTGTCAAAGTCGGCCTTGGTCCACATATTTCCCTTCACTATACGTCAAAGACCAGAACAAAGGGCATGTAATATTTGATAGGAGATAAATATAAGGTAGTAACTATTTAAGAATAACTTTCACCCATTTGACATCGAATGTTCATATCCCTGACATTCTTGATGTTCGAACTCAGAACCTCAACTTGAATAACAACAATTCTTTTATCACAAAATTGATTTGGTTTGTCTTAATTTTTACACTTACATACACCAAAGAGTTCTATCGGAGCAAATGGCTTTGGATTTAGTTACAATTCGGCCTTCCGCCAATACGCAAGTCCTAGCCCATCAACGTTGGGTTCAACGCCTGCAAAGAAAGAGGTACTATGTCCAGCTCAGAGCGGGCTCGGAACACAAAAAATTTAGGGAACACCACGTATTTAGTAGTTTAACTTGAATATTTTAAGGATACGAAACAAGTTACTTCGGTTATAAAGGTTGTTATTATTCATTGAGATCTCGGATTTGAGCATTGGACATGTTAAGAGTGTGAGCGTTCAATATCAAATGATGGAGAGTTATCTATGAATAGATATTGCTTTGTACTTACATAAGATTAATGGAAAAAACTATTATTTTAATGGTAAATTACATATTTAAGATCTAAACTAACAGTTTCTAATAGTGGGTACTAAAGTGAAACAAAATTAAACGTTAGACATGATTTTGAAAAAAAATAAAAGTTTAGGTACAAAAATAGACCAAGACTAATAGTTTATGCATGAAATGCATAATTTACCCTTATTTTAATTTTGTTTTGGTTATCCAACTATTTAAAAAAAATCACCAACACTATGTTTTGATTTCATTTTGATTGTCTACCGTTAAAAATTAATAGAACTATCAATGAAATTTTTTTATGATGATGTGACATCACCTTCTGGTGACACATCAACATCACCATTAACTTTTTAACAACAAGTGACCAAAATAAAATTAAAACATAACGTTAGTTATTATTTTTTTTAAAAAATGGATGATCAAAATAAAACTACAGTGATAATTGAGTAATTAAATATTTAGTTTACCCAAAAATTTAAGTCTATAACTAATTTTTTTTGTTGCCCTCCCGGTTCTATGGCTTCGTCTTAACTAATCCAGATCGATCCATGTCCCACACATGACTTTGGTGAGTGAATATCCCAACAAAGATTTTCTACATACACAGACTCAAACTTGAGATATTGTTTAAGCGATATCAAGCTACTTACCACTTGAACTAACCCCAGTTGGTTAAGTCATTAACTAATTATTGAGAAACTTTTTAAGGGTTTTGAGATTTATTATGTTTTAAAATTCAATCACTTACTGATTATTACATTATATTTATTAGTAGATTAATTTATATAAGATGTTATATATATTTATTATAAAGATACTTTTATTAATTTAATTTATTCTATTTATAATATCAAAACCAACCATATAAAAGGAGTCGATCGCAAACCTTTGAAATACAAGTCCACAAGTCTTGTCCCTGAACAAAATTCAACTGAAGAGAAGAATCAAGTAGTTTTCTTTATAATTAAGATATCATCGAATCAACTCATTTAAGTTTTTAATGAAAGTCGAATATGCTTCAATAAGCAAACCCTTAATTTTCACGTTTGGAATTGATCCTTCAATTTAGCTCCCGGCTTAAAAGAAAATTAGCTAAGCATGACTAATGTTATATATTATTGAAAGCAATTTTATTTTTCAATAGCTTTTACCTTTTCATGTTACCTCCTCCCTCATATATTATTGAGTTAGACATCATAATGCCTAAAATCCAAACTCTGCTACCCCTCCCATTAGTTGCTCTGACTTGATTAATGGTTTGGCTTTGCTTGATCAAGCAGTCCGATACAGTCCAGGCTTCACTAGGAAAATAAATGAATTTACTGGACTTGGAACTCAGAACAAGGGCCAAAATAACAATTATGTAACCAGTGCTCAGAAAACATAATTAAAAATAATGCGTTCATATCATCATAAGCCTATTTGATAACTCTAGCAAGTAACAACATCAATCGTCTTTAAGTAACATGCTCAACATCAACATGATCTGCATGACTCAAGTCCATGATTGCATCCTATTTTTACTTTCTCTCGTTCTAAAGGCAACAAATGGGAAAAGAAAGATTACCTGCTCACTTATCAGCACTAGATCATAGCATCTGATGTTGGGAATCTCAGGATTCACGTTTAAGCCATCCAGACCCAGGCTAATAATCATACACAACAGTAAAATGCCATATCTTAATATTTGAAAAATCACCCCTAGAACAAGAGTTTGGAAGCAAGGGCACAGGTTTAACGGCCTCGACCACGTCCCCTTCCACGCCCGCGACCCCGACCCCGTCCCAAAGGCTTCCCTGAATTTAACAATGCATTAAAAAAAAACAAAGCTTATACAAGTAGGAAACTTTCGAAGAGGGAAAATGGAGCCAGAGAGAAATGGCAGTACCAGCTGTTGGTTTCTTGGGTTTCACCCTAGGTGTCTCTTCAACCAGCAAGGTCTCAAGATTTAAGCTGTCAGGCAGAATATAGTAGCGGATATTGTTACCCCTCACACTAAGGTGATCCAAACTCACTGGATTTTTCCCCTTCAGTGTAAGTTTCACTGTTTTCAGATGAGTATTCATACTGACATCCACACCTACAACAAACACATCAAATCGAACGGTCAGAAAATTTGCATGCTAAAATGTTATGTTCAATAAGGAATTCCCTATGGTATAACCATTTAAAAAACCCAATACTTGGTAAAAGCAGATTTTGTCCAAATTAGAAACATAATCACCGGTTTCATATGAACTCCCACCATTCAAAATGCTCCAGAATAGAATCGAACAACTAAAAGAAAATAAACATGTCACAAAAAGTCATCCTATATACTATGAAAAGAAAATTTGCAGTAGATATAGGTTCATCACATAAACAAAAGTCTGTAAATGAGACAAATCCATCTAATACAAGTAACCAACTAATAACAAGATACCATACGTGCAAAGCGATTCAAAAGTCAAATAATTTATCAAATATAAGCTTCCTCAGAAAAAATGAGGCATAGTAACAAGCATAGCAAGTCCAAAACCAGTTCATCTTCAAAGGTGATAACAAGTGATATCGTGCACAAACACCTAAATCTATCCCCGATTTTAAGGTTAGTAATTTTACCAAAAGGAAAGCTACAGAATTCACAATTGAGAAGGGAATTATAATTACACTTAGCATTACTGACTTCAAGAAAAAATGAAGGGAAAAAAACTGAGAAAACAGAAAACCCTTAACTCCAGTCAACTGAGAAAAGATTTAGCAAATAACCTTCACCTTCTACAACTTGGCTAAAACGGAGAGTTAAGAGTTTAGCTAAACCCTAATGCAAGGGTTAGAAAAGGGGAAGGTAACGAAAGGAACCTGTGATGGTTCCGTGAACAACGGTTCCATTCTTGAGCTCAATCGACACCGTTTCATTGTTCAACTTCATCAAAAACCTGCTCCATCGTTTATTTCAAATCAGCTCCATTATATTGAGAATCAAAAAAAGAAAAGAAGATCTCCACATCAATTCGCACAAAGAAAGAGAATACAAAAGAAAAAGTATAATAAATCGCGATAATCAACAAACTGACCTAACGAGCTTCATGTTGAGGAAAATTAGGGCTTCAAGCAAAGGCGAGAGAGGCTATGGAACCGTGTGAATAAGCGGGGGGTTTAATGCCAGGTAGGGCACGGGGAGGAGTGGGCCGGTTTTTCGGCCGCCCGATCCCGATCCAAAAATCTTCAGCTTATATTCGGTCCCGTGCAGTCCAGATAATTTTTAGTTTTTTCCTCTCCCTGAATTCGCTCCAATTTTTAAATTAAAAGCTACCTTTTGAACCGACTCAATATGAATATATTAATATTTTAAAAATAATTAAAATAATATATTTTATAATAATTTATTATATTTTTAATAATTAAATAATATATTTTAATATTATAAAAATAAAATATTTAAAATTTATATATAATTGGGCTGGATCGATATTTTTAACTTAAACCTAATCTCATCCTAATCTAACTATTATAAAACCTACCCCCGCTTAAACCCTAAATTTTCAAAAATAAAATCTTAAAGAGTCAAATCAAGTTGAAACATGTCAGATTCGATTATTTTGACGTGGGAGGGAAATTCAAGGTTTGGAATAGTGCCACAAGCCCACAAGGCCTTTATACGACGCCGTAGCTGAAATCGTTGCTGCATTCTTGGGCCAAACTTTTATTAGGTATCCGCCCAAAACTCTTCCACCGGCTTAAATTTTAGGTCCAATTCTTATAGCGGTCCCTTTATTATGCTTAAATTTGTGATCTAGTATCTATATTTAGCTTCTTATGATTTAATCCTTTACTTGTACATTGTCCTTAGACAGTCCAAACAGATTCTCTTTATATAAATTCTAAGTTTAAGGGTTACTTTTTTTTTCTCCATTTAATAGACCCAATTTATCATTTTTGTTTATATGATTTTTTTACATCAATTTAGTTCTCGAAGTTATTTAAGGGTAACATTCTAACCCTTGAAGTCTATTTTGACTAACAAAACCGTTAAACTTCAACTTTTGTTGACACTAACAATTTCTGTGTCAGCCAATACTACTGATGTGACTTGACGACGACGTGAAATTTATTAAAAAAAATTAATAATAAAATGTTTAAAATATTTACTAAATATAACGGTTAGAAAAAAAATCCCTAAATTTTGACTTAATCTCTTAATCTCACTGAAATAAATAATAAAAATTTAAGAATTTTTTTAACTATATATTTAGTAAATATTTTAACATAATCTCTTAATCTACAGATACATAAGACTTTTGTTAGTCAAAATGATCAATAGACTTTAAGAACTAGGATGATGCCCTAAACAACTTGAAGGGTTAAATTGATTAAAAAATTATAGAGGTAAAAATGATAAATTACATTTACCATATGGATAAAATAGCTCTTAAATATAAATTATAAATCTAATTTTAATCTAGAGGAAGAAGTAACCCGCGAAATACGTTTTGTCGACCGTCTAAAATAAAATTAGATCTAATTAATTTCAATCGTTAGATCTAATTAATTTACAGCGAATACTAATGAGAAAATTAACCTTCAAATATTAGCAATATCAATATGTGTTTATGTTTGTGATAATACAGCTATATTTGTTATCTGTTTTAGTTTTAGGTTTTAATCTTTTAAAATTTATTAATTAGCGATTTCGATTTATAAATTAATTGATTTAAATTTATTTTACGAGTAATATTTGAACTTAGTACGATATTGAAATAAAATTTATAACTCCAAATTTACAGGAAAAATGCATATATCCAACCATATGTCATTTCCATATTATATGATAAAACAATAATTTGATAGCAACGTATATATTTTGTTCAGCATCAAACGATTCGAACCGGTAGCTAAAAAGCTACTGAAAAAAGATGAGTTCCGGCCGCCGTCGACCTTCGCATGAGTAGGTGACGCTGCATTTGTCGTCGACGACGATGGTGTACTTATGATTAGGCCTCCAAAGGAAAGGAGGCAAATGAATCAGAATCTAACACACACTAAAAGAATCTATCTGCTTCAGACATTCACAACAGTAACGTTGTTCAGGTGTCTCTTGAATCCCATGCCTCCGCCTGTGCCGGCTCCTCCGGTGCTTGGGGCCAGTGCGATCTATGCTCGTGTCCGTCTACCGGCGGAGGCATAGGGAGTATAGGCACCGTGTCACACGCGAAGTTCACCAGCGCGATCTGAGACCTGCAAAGTGGATGTCCGAAGGTTAATTGCTCTGGGATTACGGTCATGTTATTCGACAGTGCAACGAAGAACATGGAGAAGATGGATAGTACATGAATCCCAAGCTTGGCTGCCATTGTTGAGCTTTATCTTCAATATCTCATCTTCAACCTAAAAGAGAGGGGACTTGATATAACACCATTGGTGTCCGTTTCAATTTATACTCCATAAACTTCTTGTATAAAGAATATAAAAGAACTGGGGATGATCAAGAGAATGAGATGATGGTTTGTTGATGTTATGGAAGAGTTCAGGTTTTCATTATCTATCTTTATTCATTGATTTATATATGCTGCATTCCTTTAGTGTGAAGATTTTGTTAGGTCCCAAATTGTGTTAATAATATGAAACTTACCAGTCTGCAACTTTGCAAAACTATGACTCTGCAATAAACTTCATCCACCATACATACATACATGCACTAAGAACAATCCCCACCTCTTTTTTGAGGTGTGATTTGTGTTTGCAAACTATACACAATCATCCAAAACTCCAAGTGTATTGAGAAATGGTGATTTTCCCTAAACCCCAAAGGCTAAAAACCATTCATTCATGCCAACAGAGGAGCAACATGGTGCATCTCCATATGATATAAAGCCTAGCCCTCTGCTCTCTAATTTGCTTCGAACCCCTATGCCAGGAGCGACCCTTCAAATTCCTCGTCGAAAACGAGCGTTCTGTCGTATATACCAACAACAACAGAAACTAATCAAGAGAAAAAAACAAAGCACCTGAAGAGTTCCTTGTTTGGTAATAATAAGTGCAAGTAGTTTCAAGTTTTTTATAGGAAGAGCAGTTGGAGATTATGTGGTAGGTGACAATGGCCCCACCTGGTTGTGTCATTGGCGTCGGCAGGCACCCTCAGTGAAGAAGGCAAAAGGCAAAGCGGTTGTGGTGTATTAGTTTGTATTGTCTGCTTGCCAAACTAGTATTGAAAACGACTTGTCAATGACATCAGCTTATCGTCTCAAGGAAGAACGGGGGTCATTCATCTCTGCCTCCCGTGCATTATCCAGTCACTTGTGCTCCTGTTAGCTTTACCCCAATCATCTGTGCTCCTGTGTTCAATGTTTCTGTGTGTGTTTTGGGTTATTTTGTGGTTTTTGTTCTTTTTCATTGGAGATTTTCCTTCCGAAGAATTTGAAGATTTTGGACCCTAATATGCTTGAAATTTGGTGAAAGGGTACGCGAAGTCATGCAATTTTTATAATAATAAACGTGGTCTTCGTACTATTTTTTTTCAACGGGGGCCTTTCAACTCGTAAAAAACTTAATGTGATCAAAGACTATATTGACCAACGGCTCCGTTAATTTATGTTAATGTGGATGCTTTCTCAAATATGTTACGAAGGGAGTACTCTTTGCGGCTATTAGTAAAGGTAGAAATAATCAATTTCCGGTTACATGAACAATTGCTGAAGGGAAAGGAAAAGAATCATGGCTTTTACAAAAAATTCTGATTAATTTGGAACATTCTAATGGCGAATGACTTACACTAATATTGATCAACGACAAAAAATATTAATTAAATTACCACATTGATTTTTTTAAAATGAAGAGTCGTATTAAAAAAATTGTAAAATAGCCATTAGGTGTTTTTTTTCCACGTATCCTTTTACCTTGAGATTTTAATTTTGGATGTTTGTGTTTAGTTTATAGTATCGAGATTTTATCCCTCCTGTTTTACATAGAGTCATGGTGGATTTATAAAGTGAGGAATGATTTTTTTATTGATACAAGCGTCATTAAGTGTGAAATGTGAATATTTGAACTACTAAGATAGTATATTATTGTCCAATAAATGTCCTATATGTATTAGGACGTGAGTTCAAACTCCACTCAACACAAACTCTTTAGTTTCATTTTGTAGGATCGATTCTTCAAGCACACGTGTTATGCTCTGATTTTGTGAACCTTCTATAATCTTAGTAGAATTCGATAGATAAAACTCAATTTAAAATAGGATAAAGTATACAAATGGTCCCTAATTATAGGATATTACTTTATTAAGTCCATCGATTATTAAAAGTTACAAAATTGTCACTCGACTATTCATTATATTCCAAACTCATCATTTTCCATTAAAAAATTAGCAGTTGTTTAAATTAAACGTTAACATGATGACTGAGATATAATAGTCGTTTAAAATTTCGAGATCATATTTTATCATATCACAATCAACATGTTAACGTTAAGCTCATAATATCATCCATTTTTTCACGGAAAATGAAGAGTTTGGAACATAATGAATAGCCGATCGGATGACCATTTTGTAACTTTTTATAGTCGAGGGGCTCAACAAAGTAGCGCTCTATAGTATGAGGACTATTTTATAACTTTTAAGAATCGAGGGATCATCTGTATACTTTACCCTTTAAAATAATATCAAATAGTTCAATTGACTAATGAGATAAACGAGAGTTCATACATTTTTTTAATAAATCCAAAGATATCTCAATATTTTTAATTAAATTATATATATGCGTAAATAGTATGAGATAATTGTAAGATAAAATACGTTTAGTTTTTTTATTCATTAAACCCTGTCGCCGCCATCTTTCGGGTGTGTCTGGAATTGGGCTTTGACTTGAAAAGAATAGGTTAAAGTCGCCACCGATCATTTAAAAAAATATGTAGACTGATTAGACACCATCTTACCTGATCTGTGTTTTACCAGAAATATGTCAGGTTCGGGAGTCGGTTACAGTCAAGGAAGGATTAACACCCTTGAACTGCCATTTCAGTACCAATTAATTCGTCGGCTGTCTTAATTGCGAAAATTAAAATTTAAAAACCCGATTCCGATTACTTACCTTCGATTGATTAAAATTACTACTGAAAAAGTCAAAAATATGTTAGATGGTAAAATAAAAGAAATATCAAATAAAAATTACTTAATAAAAATAAAAATAAAAA